ATTGTGGTGAAAAAACTTATCGTCTCTATTGTTATAAAAATAAATATCAAAATTCAATCCAAATAGTAACCGTAAAAATGTCCTACTAATTAATGTTTAGTCCGGAGCCAATTTACTTATATTACGGTTCCGGTATTAGATACTTTCCAAATTCTTCATTAATCACATCAGATATTTATATAGGATGAACTTCTTCTATCATTGTCTTAAATAGTTTCCATAATTTTATAAATAATATTGAATATTTTATCTGATATTATCTAGAATGAATGGAAAGTACAAACTGCTTATTTTATATTAATAGTTAGTACAAATATAAGTATTTTATATTTTTCTTTTAAAGGGGGATGGATCTTAAAAGAAGCTTTTTGCGATAGTGCGATTGAAATGGAAAGACAGGTTGAAACACTTTTTAATATTGCTTCTACTTGCTCAATATTATCTATAATAACCTTCAATCTCAGTGGCTGCTTCCAACTTGGATTCATTTTATGAGGAACTTATTTATTTTCTACACTCGATCAATTCGATGGATGCCGGACAAAAGGAGATATGACACCGGTTGTATATGCTTTCAAATATAGTGTAATTCTATTATGGATAACATTTATCCTAAGTTGTATTAATGTAATGTTATGTATATGGTATCTTATGCTATGGATGACTTCCCCTATACTACGGAAATATAATAAAATACAAGCTACTCCCGTATCTCCTATAATAAGTCCAGTAGAGATACTTGTAACTGGAAATAATCATGAGGAGATTTATAGAGCTTATGAATAATCAACTAATTTGATTTATATAATTTTATTATTACGAAGTAATGAGACTCTGTCTCTATTTTTTCGGATATCAGAATTCTAATAATAGTATTAGATAAATTAATATTATTCTCTACGCTTTACTCTATTATAACTATCAGCATATATCCAGATTCTGGAATCCATAATCTATTTTCAGAATATAACTGACTTTGTTAATTTGGCGAAATAATTTGATTAATGTCAGAAATTTCAATTCTTAAAGAAGAAAGAGCACTAAAATTCTTATTATTTAACGCACAATTTATAGTTCGGTTGGTGAATGAAACTGATACCTTATACGGAGAACAATTCTGAGTAATATTTTCAATCAGTTTTTGGGGACTATTGGTATAGATAGATGGAATCAAAGATTTCTGTTCTACACTCAGGAGCAAATCAATAGATACAACGGGGACAAGATTTGAGAACATCATTATTTTATTTCTTTCCTGAACCACCCCATTAGATGCTAATGTACCGATAGCAAGAGTAAGAATATTAATTCCTTGAATAAAAGAATTGTGAATGACAGTACGGATTGCTATACCAAATTTTTGTATATGTAATGGGGGCTGTACGTTAGAATTTGGAATATCAAAACGATTATATATAAGTCTTAATCTTTCTTGTAAAATAGGATCATTATTAGGCCATACAACATTCTGATCATAATGATAGTAATCTAAAACATATTGAAATATAGTGGGGTCGGCAGAAATAAAAATTATTTGCCTGGGTTTTATACCATGTTGTTGATTAAAATCTCTAATCAATCTACCTAAATATGTATTAGAATATTTAAGGATGCTCCTCCTAGAAATTTGGAAGATAGTGCCGCCCACATTTAACGATAATATATCTGAATTAGAAGTGGGGGATGATGAATCTGTAACAACCTGGGCTACAACCTTCGCCTTATCAATTGTTGTATAAACATAATTCATATTTGTGGGTCATATATTTCTGAATATATAATATTTTATAAACATTTTATGGCAGATCCATTTTTCAATAAAATTAGTCAGCTTGAAAAAACTTTAGAACATCAGCTAAAAGAAATTCTCCGTTTGGAATATGAGATTCAAGAGCGTAAGAATTCTCTTGATTTTTTTCGAGAAGAAAATTGTTTACTTAAGCAAAAATTAAAAAAGCTTCAAAAGTACGCGACTAACCAAGAATTAGAGATCAATAATAATTATCAACACCTCCACGAACTCGAAAAAAAGATCTCTCAATTGGAGAATATTTTTTCACAATGGCAGGCTGAAAGAAATAAGATAAAACTGTTGCAGGAACAGAATGCCTCTTTATATTCCACTGTGAATAACTTGTCGTCCCAATTGGAAGAAAAAAAAAATATTTTGCGGGAAACAAATAAACTTATCCAAGAACAGAAAAAAAATCTCAAAGATGGCGAAACTAATTTATATAAAATTATATCAAACTATGGAGCTTTATGTATTGAAAATTTATCTCTTAAAACCCATTTGAGCGATAAGAATGAAGCCATTAAACAATATAAGGTATTGGTATCAGACTTTAATGATAAAACTAATTCAGAACCAATAAATTATATAAGTTATTCTTCTCTTGCGGAAATAAAATTAATAGACATTACTCAAAAATATAAAAAATGGAAAGCCCGTTTTAAAAAAAATAATTTACGCAAAAATATATATAATCCTGATATACCAAATCAAAATAAATCTAATCCAAAGAATATGGCCGATGCGGGAAGACTTACAGTATTACCATCTATAGCTCCAATCTTGGCAGCATATCCATCTTATACGGGTCAAGTACCTCCAGATGAGTATTTAGATGGATTAGAAGGTGCCTTAATGGCGATAGAAGCAAATATGGCGGCCGCTGAAGGTGCAAACGCTGGTGCTTTTAATGAAGTGATCAGATGCCAATTACTTTCTTCCAAAATGGCTGGAAGATTCACTCCGGTACCAGCCAATGACCCTTTTACTGTTGGAGCTCCTGCAATTAATACTAGAGTTTCTTTGCGGGCTTGGTTAAGAGCTAAATACAGAGTTGAAAAATATGGATCTGGACATATAGCTACTCAAACCTTAGCATATGAAAGATTTTACCCAGGAGATACTCCAGATACATATGAGGGGAGAATTAAACCACTTACTACTGGTCTAGATCCAATGTTTGCCATAGGTATATTATATAATCATGTGCCCCAGGAATATCAATTACGAATCAGAATCGGGAATCCACAAACTGTTAATGAATTTTTCCAACAGTTAAGAACAGCTTATCATGAATTTGTGAAAAGACCTATGCCCCATAATTTTGGATTTTATCCTTCCGTACCAACAAATATTCAGGAATATTATGTTCATAATCCAAATATGCAGCCCATATTTCCGCAAAATCTGCCACCCATGATTCCACAAAATCTGCCACCCATGATTCCACAAAATATCACCATTCACATCTATATTGTAAGACATGCAAAAAAGTAGTGGATGGAATATATAGGCAATGTGAATGTGATAATTCTCGAATAATTAAAAATAAATCAGAGTTAATGGTTTGATATAATAATTATATTTGTTATTTTGTATTTTCATTAAAATGCCTACAAGATTAAGACCTGATGCGACTTATTTATCTTCAGAAGAGATTCATAGATATTTTCGAGGCACTTCACGTGAGAAGTCTACATGCAGTGATCGCCTAGTGAAATGTACCACCTGCATGCGGAACGGGGTAAAATATTGTGATCTGCCTATTCTGGGTTAGCTCCCGAGCTGATCACACTCATGCCAAAGCGCTGTGTGTACTATAGAACTCAAACGCATTTTTTGCTAAGTTACTTTAACGCGTCTTCCTTAATTCCATAGTTGTAGGTATAAAAAAGATCTGTAGGGTAAGTTTGTTATGCGTATTTTCCATTGTAATTTTCTGTGTACCTGATTTCTAATACGTTTTTTACCATGTCCACGTCTATTACTAACTATACTTGAGAAACCTCTGAAAGCATTCCATATGCTAAATATTTCGATTTTTTCCCATGTGAGAAGTGGGCACTCGATCATTATGTAGCCTTGATTACTGATAACTATAAGTTCGCTGAGAAGAAAGAGGCACATCGTACTTTTTATATTACCTTACATAAAATTAATGATGATCTTTGCATGCCTTAAGAAGTTCGCGACATTGCTCAAAATCTTATAGAGAATAGTAAGGTGAGCATATTTAATTTGTTTTGATGGGGCATATAGCCAGATGCTTGTACCTATTACCACGCCCTAGTAGGAGTCCTGCAAGTATTGAAATGGATGCGTTTATTACCACGCCCTAGTAAACATCATGGAATATATCATGATATTTTTTAGTAAAGATCTGCTGGTTCCGAAGGAGAATTTGGATATGCACCTTTACATTAATAAAATTATTATTGATATATCCCTGCATTCGCCATCAAACCCTATTTTTATTTGATTACGCTTGCTAGGAAATATTATTCCATTTCTCATTTGGTTTGCTTTCTACAGGCCGATACAGAGAAAGTAAATAGCTTATGGAGGAAAGCTAGCAAAGCAAGGAAGACGTCGCCACCACCGGTAAGATCATCATTACCAGCATCATCACCGGCACTATCCTCATCTATTTTAGGGAAGAGGCAGAGGGATCTGGCCACAATAGACGCTCCTACAAAGAAGCAGTGTGTAGTTC